GCCGATCAAAAAGGCCGGGGTCTGTTTTATTTTCTAGTTAGTTTTTAGAATTTATTGCTCTATACTGATATGCATTATTTTTGACGATAACCATATCGTATGTCAAATCATTACATTTTCTAAAGTGGATGTATGGCCTTTGCAGTGACAACTAACACATAAACATTTGTCCTATTTATTAAACCTACTCTTTCTAAAGATTGCATTTCAAATATCTGTGTGTTTTCTTTAACTCATTTTCTATGTAGATAGTTTAAGGTATTCAGTTTGAATTTGTAGGCATCCAAGAAGTCTGCTCTTGGTGCTCATAAGGTACGCATTGATTTTGACGAATTGGAACACAGAGCTGTTGACTATGAAAAGAAACATGCAGAGGTAAGCATACTTTTTATCACCTTTATTTTTTTTTGTATTCTCATTTCGAACGTTTTCAAATTCTTTCGCTTAACCGATAAATAAGAATTGTCTTCACAATAACAATATTAGTGTTTCCAACCGTAAGGCATCATGATTTGTTGACTTCATGTTCTTCGTCTCTGCGTAATCAACTGTCATTGCTTGTGAGAATTACGTATGTAAATTACTATTCAAGAGTGGCGCTAACATCACTCCAACTTCACAGCTTGTGGAACAGGATGAACCTGTTGCGAAGTTAAGTGCTCGGTTAGCAATGCAAGATATTGACAAAAAGTCTCTTCAGGTTGGTTAAAAAATTCTTAGTTCTGTGCAAGATCACAGTGCGTTTTTTAGGCTAAAGTCGCAGCAGACCCTCAAAAAGCTGCTGCTGTAGAAAGACTTGGTATGGGAGGTTTTGGTAGACCGCGTGCAGCTCACTCCGTAGCACAGGGTGTTAAGACGATTAAACAGGTATGATATTCAATACATAGTTTTGCTGTCGAACACTAGTTTAGCCCTTGAGGTGGTTAATGCTTAAAAAATGAAATTAGTGATGTTATACGTGCTTGACTTGAATGCAGTGTTCGAGCAAGTCGATTCTGGGTTTTCCACTTTTTCTGGACCATTTCGGTGCTGCACGTGTATCAACTTCACTACCGTAAAATTGCTGTAAAAAACCGAGTCCGTGCCCTTCGTTTTGGATGGATGGGGATGAGTGGCAGAGACGCTATTTCTAATTTTTGAATTTATTTCTCTCGCTAGAGAACGCTGCTTTTGAGAGAAGCCGAATTTGGGCGTTTCTAAGGGAGAGATTGCTGAATGGGTGGAGTAACTTAAAAAGGGCAACCCTTAAACGCCCATAATTTTCTTGCTTAGCGCGGTACTTTATTTGCTTGAGCTTGGAGAATAGCTTAGTCAGAGAGTCTCATTCACTGACGAGAGCTAGAGGTCCATAGTTTCAATCGAATACTACTCTCAAAAAATTTGGCGCCATTTTAGTGGGGTACTTCAGTTATTTAGTACTTTTCTGTTTCCATCTTTTGTATTACTGAAGGACCGAATCAAATCTGAATCGGATCAATAAGACGGATTAGTCGTTGAGTGTGTCCAGGTGACAGTTAGGGTTGCCGCAGTTATTTTCTCTGTATTTATGAGAGCTCGACTGGACTTTGTGCACTCGGTTCAGTTGTATTTTTTTGTCTTTTTAGTCCATCTCAGTAAATACCACTATCGGCCCAAAGGATTGTTTATTAACTCATGTTGCAGGTAGATCTGAGTAGCCGTACAGCTCCATCTTCATCCCCAACTTCCAAAGCTGATGATGAGTGGGACTTTGTTGAGGACAGGTTTGTTGTTTTCTTTCGAAGACCAACGCAATC